TTTATTAAAATTGAGATCAAACTTATTTTATACTTTATTGTAGTTTTATTAATGAATGAGAGAGATTTATATATTAAAATTCTTTGAAATACAGTGTTATCCCATGACTGTCATATTTTTATGGTAAATTTTAAGAAAATATTCTCTCCGTGTATATAGTATCTCATATAATTTTATTAATATTAACAATTTTGAGAATACTTTACAGATATCAACTTACCAATTGTTGTGATGACGATAATGGAATAGAAGAGAGCACCGGAAAATGTCCATTGCAATTTATCTTCCTTTTCATTCCCATCCCATCCTTCCTTCTCCATTTTTTCCAAAAGGCGTTTTTCAAATTCCTACATTGTGAACAAATAATCTTCTATTGAATCGAATCAAGTTTAACAGAAAAAGATAATATTTTGTATTTACGTGTTACTTTTTTAATAACTTTTCTAGCCATAGAAGCGGTTCTTAACTTCGGCTTTTGTTTTATACAAGTAAAAATGATTTAAAATTATGGGAAAAAAACACAAAACATACCTCCAGCTTGTTCAATGCCTGCTCTGTCCAATTTTCGCGAATCAACACGTCGAAATCTTTCGTAATTTCCCATAGCTTTTCCGAAACGTTTCCTCGTATACTCTTGATACTCATCTTCACCTGCGAAGACAGCGCAGGTGAAGAACGCTTAATCGGCGCGGGCGTCGCGACGCTCGATGCTAGTCAATAATTCATTGACACGAGCGTAGAATATTTGACGTGGGAGAAATTATTTGTCCCCTGTATCCTTTTTCTTTTAGTATCGAATCAATTTCTGTCCCAGTAAACTTCGATCCAGTAAAATTATGTGATAGAAGATATTATTTAACGTTCTAACTAAATTATTAATCCAGATGTTAGTAAAATTAACAAAAATGCAATACAATATTTATGACTGTTTAGTTTTATATTTATTTTTATAACTATTTAATGAAAGTATTAAATAAAAGAATAAAAAGGAAATATTTTGCAACAATAGAAAATAAGTATTATATAAATTTAATATAATTACTATTATAAAACTAATTACAAATATAATTAGATTTATTCTGAGATAAATTGAAATAAATTGAAATTATTTCAGAAATCAAATTTATAAATAATAATGATAGAGTTAAGATTATTCAATTTACATAAATTTAATTTATTTTATATATGTTATAAATTATATAAGTAATTTTATGAATATAGAAAAAGAAAATAATAAAGATTTCCAAAATTTATTAAACTTCAAAAATTGATATATATAAAACTAATCTTTCTCTTTTCTATGATTAAAAAGATCTGAACTTAATAAATGATTGATCAAGTTGTTTGCTCAATGCTCACGTTATTACACTGTTTTATCATAATTGCAGCACATTGTGCATGGCTATCCAATCCAACCTTGATTGCTTATAACTTTCATAAAAATAAACATTGTAACACATTTTTTTAATTAAAATGCCGAACATTAAGGAATACAACAATATCGAGCAAATATTATTGTAAAAAAACTTATAAGTGATAAAGTTAGCACAGAAGTTTTAAAAAATACAATTTTTGAAAAAAAAAGCCACCGGGAATGGCATTGAAGGGTTAGTTAATAATATTTACTAATAGTCTCGCAATTTACCTCCCTCTCATGTTCCGCTTCCAGTGACTCGAAAGCGTATGCGCCGATTAGACAATAAGCAACCACCAAAGAGATTAACGTCACGTGAGAGAAGATGCATCTGCTGACTTTCCATAGCAGCCGGAGGAATCTGATGCACCTCGACGGTTTCTCCACTTCCACCACGTCAAACACTTCCGTTCGCGCGCGCGGCATTTTCTACTTGCCTCCCTTAGATTGCGGGTATCCTCTTATTAGATTTTCCATTTACATAGCGAGCGCGAAACCGCGCTTTACTTTCATCACTTAGCTTTAATTACTAATAATTAGATTTTCTCTCTGATTCCAAGTAATAAATGTATTGATTATATATATATATA